GATATGAATAAAACAAATATATTATTTAGAATTTAGATTTTAAATATACAATATATACTTTTTCTATTTGTGCAGAAAGACATACAATAATTTACAGACATTAATTGGCTTTTTTTTTTAATAATATATTCTTATAAATTGTTAAAATTATTTTACATTAAATAAGATTATATTTGCATCTGATGTAATGTGATCGAAGTTGAAGTTATTAATATAGAAACTCAGTGCAAAAAGATCATGTTATCTGTAATATGAACTAACTTGAAATTATTAATCAATGCAGTATGGGTAGATATATAAATTTCTCAAACATCTTTCCTCTAATAAGTGTCAGCAGTGACATACCTTAGACAGAAAATTTAAGAGTAATGCATTTTTTTTCCAGAGGTGATACGCAAATTGCGTAAATATGATAAAGAAGAAAGTATGGAGACATGTCTGAGAGGTTTGTTTTGCTGGTTACACAACAAGTGTACCATATTTTTATTATGTTAAATTGCAACATAATTTATTATCATAATATAAATTATACAAGGATTATCAGAGAAAACTGCAATTTTTAAAATATTCAATAAAGTACGTAATGAAATATATGGAGATAACGAACAGTATTCAAGCTCAAAAGTCCATTAATCAATACAAAATAGGAGCAGAGCAAACACGGACCTCCAAACATCAGAGGTGGGATCAGGTGCCATGGAGGAGTGAGCATCCCCTGCCGACCGGTCACATCCGCCGTGTGCTCCTTGTCATGATCGGGAAATAACGGAAAAATCCGTCGACAATTCAGTGTGTAAATAATGGCCTAACAATTAGTGTGAAAAACGTCAGTCAGCATTTGACTCAATGATAAATTGTATTTGCTGACAAGGTCATTGTATCAACCATAGAACTTACGAAATGATGACTTTAAACGAGACAGCTGATATTCTTGTTTCATCAACTTATTTGTCAATAATTTACCTCGTTTTAGAAATTGTACATACGTAGAGCATGCTCTTGCGTATCGAATCAACTGAGAGATATATACCCCGTATGCAGGTGATGAAGGTATATTGCTGCATAAGTAAGGGAAGTTGACGATTGAAAAGTTAAAGTCATCACGTTTATCATAAAGCTTGGTTGTTAGATTACCATTAACGTCTTTTTCAAGTAAAATATCCAAATATGAAACAGATGTGTCAGACTCTGTGGTATCTTTTATCTCAAGTTCACCAGGATATATCGTATCGACATAAGAATGGAAATAGCCATTGTTAATTGACAAAACGTCGTCTATATATCTAAATGTCGAGTTGAAGGCCACAGCAAGTGTTTAATTAAAATTATTTCTATCTTACACATTGTTAGAAAATGATTTTTTCGTCTTGTTCACAAAATATTTTAAGGTTGTAATGTTATATGCAAGCGAAAATAGCATTTGTGTGTGTGTGTGTGTGTGTTAATGTTTGGTGGCTGGCGCACTGTAAATCTTTGACTTTAAAAAGAGCATTGCCAGCGATTTTTTTAATAATAATTATGCTGAAATATTGAGAGACAAATTGTTATTTCATAAAAAGTCTATTGATCTGGAATAATTGTGTAAGAACTCATTTGTTTCACAGCATAATTGACATAGATATTTTTTTAATCACATTTCTCACGAAAGAAAATGCTGATGAAGAGAAATTGGATGGAGAGGATGACAATACCGAGTACAAAAATGAAGGAAAGGGAGAAAAATATTTCAGACTTGTACCGTACGTAAACACCTTCATACTCCTTATTTGTATGTTTGTGTTTGAGAGGAAATTTGATTAAGCCTTGTATGTAATAAATGACAAAATCAAAATTCTATTTCATGATTTATTATTTTAAAGGAAAGACAGAAGTAATCCGAAAGAGGATGGCGTTGGTACATTTGTTTCTGACATAAAAGTTTGAATGGGAGAATTCCACACATACAAACAAACAGACACACTCACACACGTACTCACACAGAGAGAGAGGGAAAGAAAGAGACAGAGGGAGATTTGAAACTTACTGTTATTAACCGTCAAAAAGCTGTGTTACATTTATCTACTTGTCCCTATACTGGACCGATTGTTAAATGCATTGAAGGTATGTGAAGGTACATATTGTCGTTCTGTGCACATTGTCGTCAGTGAGAGTATGTACCAACCTCTCTGCACATATTGTCGTCCATCGGTGTGCATGTACATATTGTCGCCTGCGACATTATGTGCCTACTCTCACTGCACATATTGTCGCCCCACAGTAAGGGTTGCATAAGGATTTCTTTTTGTAGTTTTGTGAATATAACTGGTGTTTATAAAACAGACGTGTCTCATAAGCTATTTCAAGCAGCGCCATTGTGATACCCATTTTTATCCATTACCTATTGTCGCCAGCGATATTGTTACCCCCCTCCCCCCCCCCCCCCACCATGCATATACTGTTGCAATCTGCAAAATTATACATGCATACAGTGTATATTGTCGCTTGCAACAAGAGTTGTGTACATTTACTGCAGATATTACATATTTTGATAATGATGATGATAATAATGATGATGATGATGTGGTCAGGAAAGTTAAGGAAGCTAGATTGTCACAAATTGTACATACATCAACAAATATCTTTAATATGAAATATCTATACCTATTGCTTCCTTATATTAATTTAACTCTTTAAAAAAATACACTGATATCAAGTGCACTAAAAGTTTTTACCACTTTAATATAATTTCTATAGAATCTTGTTAATGTAAAGACTTATAAGAAATGTCGCCCCAATCCATAAAAAAATATTTATATCGTTTCATGCATAAAAACAACACAAGAATATTATCGAGATAATTATTACTACTGAACACAAAAGGAACACATTAATACGTTGATAAGTTATATTCTTGGTACAGTTAAAAATACTTGAATAAATAAAAACAGAATGCTACAGTCCAAATTAGATAAATTCTTTGCTGGTAGCGTTTTCAGCTCTTCTGTTGACTCTTCAGATAGGTATCATAAATATATATGTATTTAAAGGATATATATATAAATTATATATATATATATATATATATATATATATATATATATATATATATATATATATATATATATATATATATATATATATATATATATATATATATATATATATATATATATATATATATATATATATATATTCTCAATCTAATCGCAAATCCTCCCGTAAGTTATAAAATTTTAAGATGTTTAGATGAGCTATGTAGATTTGGGACTTTGAACGGAGAGAACATTACTTGGATTTGTTTGAAATAAGATACACCATCTCAAAATAGACGTATATAACATGTTAGGTCTGATAAATGTCATTCAATTCCTGTAATGTCTATTACAGAAGATTCAACCGATATGCTTGTATCTTTAAACGAAGGTAAGCCTATTAAAATATATCCTTGTATTACAATGTCGTAAATTTTACAAGGTACATATTTCATTATGTAATTTAGGTATAAAACGCTATTAAAATTGCATATTTTCAGCGAAGATATGCATGTATCTGTACCGTCAAGTGAAATGAGTATTTATTTTTTTTTTTTTTAATTCCTTAATATACACAATTCAAACTAATATTGAGAAACATTCACTATGTGAAATACTTTCTTGTAAACTTTAATATTGTTAATCAATTTTTCTCGAAAATTACTTTTAATAATTCATTCGATTTAATGCAACTTTATTTTCAGATGTTACAAACAAATTTCTTCATAATGCCGAGTCAGCAGACGGATTCTACGAAGAAACAAAAGTTTACAAAAAAGTCGAAAATTTATTCAACACAAAAAATGTAGTCATATTGACAGGACCTCCAGGATTTGGAAAAACTCAAACAGCTATCCACTTGATAATGCCTTTCAGGGAGAAGTATGTTATTCGTAAAGTGGAAAGTTACTTTGAGCTAAACTACATCGAACGTGCTAAAGATACAATCATTTTTATAGATAACATATTTTCTGGTAAATTGAATGAATTAGCAGAATGGATGAATCCTCTTGAGAGACTTGACAGAATTATTAGAGGAATGGGTGGAAATGGCAATAAATCAGAAAACAACGGAGAAATAAGAGTAGTCATTACTGCAAAATCAGATATCATTGATGAAGCGTGTGATTTAATGAAGAAAAAGGCAATATTCAGGGAGGATTATATCGTGAATCTTTCAGAAGAACAGTATGAATTGGAAAATGAGGAGAAAAAGAGAATACTGCGAAAACAAATCGCATATGCAAAGCAAGAAAAGAAAATTAAACCTCCAATTTTGAAGGATTCTTTCTGGGAAAAAGTCACAAAGGCTAAGGCACATATTGGATTCCCTTTGTGTGCTCATTTTTTTTGCATTTGAAGAGGCATACCGAAGAAAAGGTGAAGATTTTTTTTCGTGGCCGACGCAAGTTGTCCTGAAACAAATTGAAGATGTCATTAAAAATGACAAAACTAATAGAAAAAAAACATTGCTCTTATTTTTACTTCTACTAAAAATACATAATAGAAACAAAGACCAGGATTCAAAATATAAGCCAGACCTCGAGAGCGACAAAAAGTGTGCCGATTTTCTTAAGAAGAAATGTAGGCTTGGCGATCATTTTCAGCCTCTTAACTTTAAAGATTTACCATCCATTGCTTCGGAAATGACTTGGTCTTTCGTACGTAAAACTGGTGAAGGTTCCTATCAATTCATTCATCAGAGTGTCTTTGATGCAGTAGAATGTTATTTTTTCCGATCATTTCCATTTAAATGCATTGCTCTTTTTCCACTGGATGTAATAGAGCGACAAACAAATGACAAAGGGGATCTAACTTGGTTGAAAGATGATCACTTCAAATATTTGGTTAAACGATTTATTACCGAGGTGAAGTGTGGTAGGATTTCGCGTATCTGTGAATGTGATATTTTGAAAAGGACAGAGTTTATTCAGTTTTTTGTTGATGCAGTCTCATCTCTTGTTGACAAAGACCTAGTCATTTTTTTTTCACTACACAAAGTCTGGCATTTCCTAAGCTACCAATTCTTTTCTGGCTGGGGCGCAGTGAAACTACACATCTTTTGGAAAAACTCATTTCAGTTATCGAAAACCGAAAAAATGAAGACATCAATGTCGTGGATCATATTTATTATTCTTTATATGGAGAATGCACAAAAAGAGAAAACCCCAACTCTATGGTTCGCATGACGGATGGTAAACCTATTAAAGATTGGGTTTTGTCCTTCAAGGACAACACAGAAAACACGATTCTCCATATTGTAGTACAGTCTGCAAGAGAGGACGATTTCGCTACCAACATTGTTAACAAATTAATAAATGATGAGGCAGATATAAATGCTTCTAACAGAAACAGGAAGACTCCATTGATGCTTGCTGTTACCTGGCCCATCAGTCGACAACATGTCATCACAGAATTGGTCAAGAACAACTGTGAGATTGAAAGTAAAGACCGTAATGAAAATTCTGTCTTTCATTGCTGTGTCGATGCAGACACTGATGACTTCACCTGTTCAAATATTATAGGTATTGTTTTAAGTACCAAGAAAAGAGTGGATTTATCTATGGGCAACACACGTGGGTTAACTGCTTTAAATTTAGCTTGTGAAAACACCAAAAACAGTAGAATTTTAAGCATATGTAAATTACTTGAGTATGGTTATTCTGCCGAGCAAGACGGAAAAAAATATAGAGAAATGGCGCTGGTAGATAAATTAGACAATGAAGGGAAGAATCCCATTTTCAACGCCATTTCCTGTTTAACAGGTGAAGATGAATTAATGGAAATGGAGCGGCTACTTCGAGTTTGCATATTATTACTATATGGCGCTGATCCATACCTAAAAAGTGATGACGCCGATAGATCTGCTTTTGACTTTTGCAAGGAAAAATGCTACGGAGACTTGGAAGCGATCATGACATCAATACCAAATTTCAGTAAAAATGATACAGACAAATTGACCGAATCTCGTATGCTCGAAGCTATAAACAGGGGCATAAAGCGACTCTCAAAAACCCATACTACTGGTGACCAACTGGAAATCACCATGAATTTCCCCAAAAAGATATCGGATGAAATGAAGAAAGGTTTAGCTAGTGCTGTTCAGTACCTGGCAAAGAAACCATTCATTAGTAGCTCAGAAAACTAAACTTTCAACAATAGAGAAAGCATAGTTTTTTAGGTATGAAACTACTTTCCATAAAAGTTTCACAAAATACTTTTTCAGAAACAATTTAAAAAAAATACTTTGCGAAAATACGAAAAACACAAAAATGAATAAAATACATTTATTTCGAAATTATATTTTGATTTTAATATAAAAATATTCTTGGAGATGAATTGTACTTTGAGATTCAGTAAAAGTTTTTTTTTTTGTTTTGCATTTGTCACAGTTATTGATGTAGATAAGTTGGAGAAATGAAATCAACCCTGTCCTGTGCCAACAAACCACTGGCAGTCTCACAGTTTTTACCGATGAGAGAAATATCTACTCTGACATTGCAAATACAATAATTGAATAATACTGCTGAGAGTTTACAAATTATTATCATTACTACTACTACTACTACTACTACTACTTTTATTATTATTATTATTATTATTACTATCTTTCAAATTCCTTCGGAATAATTATTATCATTATTCCCCCATAGTCCATGAATCGGGGGTTTATAGCTCTTGCCCTGTCCGTCCGTCTGTCTGTCTTTATGTCTGTTTGTCCGCAAAATCTTTATTCTTGCCCATAACTTTTGATTGGTTTAAGACATGGCTTTTATATTTCACGTGTACATTTCTTGTGACAAGACCTTTCATTACGTACCAAAACATTTACTTCTTGACCTTGGAGTTTGACCCAATTCTGAAAAAAATTACAAAACTTTAACCTTGGCCATAACTTTGAACAGAAGGGGCTAGGGCTTTCAAACCCCACTTTATATTCTTGTGACAAGATATCATATATGACCTCTTGACCTCCACCTTGGAGTTTGACCCACTTGAAAAACTTAAACTATGACCATAACTTTTGAACAGTTGATGATCGGACTTACATATTGCACATGTGTATTCGTGACATGGCCTTCCATTGGATATCATCAATTTTGATCTTTTGGCCTGGACCTTGCAGTTTGACCTATTTTTGAAATCTTTAACCTTGGCAAAAACTTTTGAACAGTTTTTGCTAGGACTTTAAATTTTCCAGATGAGTATTTCGTGTGGCAAGGACTTTCCCTGGGCACCATTAATTTTGACTTTGACAATGAAATTTAACCCACTTTAAAAAAAAATAATTATAACTTTAGCTGTAACTTTTGGTCCGTTGGTGCTTGTGCTTTTATGTTCCGCAGGTACAGTCAATAAGACAAGTCCTTTGCTTTTGGGAACAACATTTTTGATCTCGACCTGGGAGTTTGATCTGCATATGAGAAATATTAACCCCTCGCCATAAGCTGCAATACGGGGGCATCTCTGTTTCACAAACACTTATTATTACTATTATTATTTTCATCATCATCATCATCATCATCATTATTATTATTATTATTATTATATACTTTTATGATACATGCAATTTTTCGAAAAACTAGTTAATCGATTTCAAAGACTTTTTTTAATCATGCATCATATTCATATCTCCGGACATTTTGTCTTTTTATTTTTTTGAAAAATCACTTCCATTTACATTTTTTGTCCAAATTTAGTATTTTTTAAGCACAAAAACAGAAAAACGGGGGGAAAATAGCACAGTAAAATTCCTCTGCACACCATAGAGTAAGATCCGCCCGGATCTGAAACATACATTTTCCCTTATTAAAATTATGTATAATATGAACATTTTATCAATGTCCAATGTTAAATTGTTAATTCACTTTAATTCTGGCTTTTCAGTTGGTACATTATCAGTCATCTCACAGACCCTTGCTGGCCTTTCACCTTGGGCGTAACTGTATCCTTACGAAGAACTTAGGTTTTTTTTCAGGGATAAATTAATGAAAATGTGTTGTTCGATGTTTTAAACAAAATTATAAAAACTTTTAAGTTATTTTTAAAAACAGTTTGGTGATAAACTTAGAGAGCAATTCTAAATACTTACCGTTAATATTTTTCCGTTTCATGAATATTCATTGAATTAAATCAGAATTTTTTCCGCGCTTCGGACATTACACTTCTACTTACGCTTGTGCGAATGTAGTGCGGGGTTAATTAAATTTTTTAACGCGATAAAAAAATATTTTTAACTTCGTGTTGATTTGTATTTTTTTAATATTAAACTTTGGATATAACGAGTTTACTAATACTTAGGTTGTTATTAGGAAATATGCAATTCTTATCCATGCAATTTCCTGCACACTTGCTGCAACTTATCACATATATTTCTCCTATTTCCCCTTCATAATTACACAAGATTTTAAACAAAGTTGTCTTGAAGATTTCATCCTCACAACTATGCAAGTCAAATGTACATGAGGACAACCTCAAAAGTCTTGATGAAACATTCGAACAATTAATTATTTTGATGATCTGAGATACAAGACGAAACTTCTCTTCCATATTTATTTATCTAAATTAATTGGGTTTGAAATACATCCACGTTTGAGATGAATTCTTGTATTCTATGGTAATCTTCAACTAGAATGTGGCTAAATGTTAACAATTATTTGTAAAAGAATATGCTTAGAACACAGGGTTAGTAAAATTTTGACATCTCATATAAAGGGAGAAAAAAAGTAAGAAAAACTTTTTAATACGCTATCATTCACTTTTTCAATGGGTGGCACTGTAGCTCTCTGGTCTTTATTTCATATTTTTCAGACGAGCAAGCTATGTTGGGACATTTAAAAAATTTAAAAAAAAATCCTTGGTTGCCTTCTCCCGACCGACTGGCTAAAAATGGCCCGACTCACTGTTTTTTACTTCCAGGAAGAATTTTTTATTATTATTTCCAGAAAACAGGCAAAAAAAACATTATTTTAAAGATGGCCTTGTGTCTCAATATTTAAAACACTTAGAGGCTTAGAATCATCAAACTTGATCAACGATATGCCAACCATAACGTAGGTCACAATGTACTACTTGGATACAAACAAGCTTAGAACAGAAATGACATGATTGTTATTAGAAAAGCCATTTAAGTCCTATGAGTCATTTGGTTTCTTTTTCACAGAATTATGAGTAACTATTAAAAAAAGGGTTCATATCCATGATATTTTTATGTTAAAAGAAAATCCTTGCTACTTATACCTTATTGCCATTGCCGTACTTTTTATTACGTTCGCGTTCCACTGAAATATTTTCAAATTCATTTTCGAATGTGTCATAACATTTTTCAAATTTGCATATTTGCATGTCATAGAAATAAATAAACCAAACATAAAATGCAGCAAGATTTGGTGCACATTACATATGGCAATATGTTATATATAATTTTTGCTCGGACACATTTGGGGTTTCTTGCAGCAAAACATAGACACTGCTATGCTTTCTTTAATATTTTTTGGGGTACTCATCTCTTATCCAAAATTCCTCCTACACCACTGAATAAAACTTAAGGTTCATTGATGCTCTGATAAGAACGATAACTCTTAATGGGATAAATGTCTATCATTCCTTTATAGATTTGTCAGCTGAAATGTCTTTCTTGGTTCAATTCTGCCCCGCAAGCTATGATATAATTGTTTGTAAATCATAAAATCATAAATGTTAAAGCTACATTTTATATTAGTGATCAGAGGGTCTATGAACCTTAACGAGACTTTTACATCTTTATTTCATAGTGGATTGTGACATCCTATTTTACGATTTGATCGGGCAGATATTTGTGAAGTCCCCGTAGCAAAAAATGACCTTTACCATTATTCTAATATGAACCAGGGGTGGGGTCTCATTTTTGTAAGCTTAGTGCTCACAGCTCCTCTAGATTTGATTGTCATTGCCATTTTGTAGAAAACAAACTTTTCAAATTTATGTGCTTATCACATGGCAGTGTACATGAATGCACTAGTATGTATTAGTATGATAAAATTACATGAAATCTTTTTATATTAACATTTATTCTTGTGCAGCAAAGAAACAAAAATGCACTTAACAGATTGAAAAATACTGTAAATGCACATTTGTTAGCATTTTTTATTTCTTTACCTGATTTGTAAATATGCCTCCTCTGACTTCACAACTGTATTTCTCTTTTTAAAATGCTATAGTGTATGTAATAAAAATTTGCATGTATGAATCAATTTTTATCTTATTTTGCTCATAAAACATATAAACAGTCGCGTTTATTGTACCACCGTATAGCGAATTATTTAGCACAGTGCTATTTTGGATTTTTTCAACGTTTTTGCTGGCGCTTGTTAAAATTTTAATAGCCAAAATATTTAGAATCCCACTTAGTGTTCTTTGCAAAGACATAATAAATAAAATAGAAATAATAAATTGTGTCCGTACATGTAAAAAAAATTCCGCTAAAATTATCGGTATACCTTTCAGCAAGCATATGCCAACGTTAACATCCAAGAAAACCGACTATACAGTACTGTGGAATCATCATTGTTCGTTGGGGACCAATGTTCATGGATTTCGTGGACGACCCTTACCCACGAATTTACATCTCCATGAATGTTTATTTTGTAAACATAATTATCTATTGAATTTACCATATAAACGAGTAACCCACGAAATTACGTCCCCACAAACAAGTGAAATTTTGCTTAATTATGCTTACCCACATTTGAAGTCCACGAATGTTTGTGTGTGTGGGTGTGTGTGTGTGTGGGGGGGGGGGGATGGTCAGTCTATTTTGTCTTAGAATGATTATATAATTCTATTTTACATCAAATTATTGTTTGTTTATCGATAGTTTTCTGTATAAGGAAACAGAAATACATATAAGAGGGTTATCTTTTTTTTTTTTTTTTTAAAAAAAGACTTTATTAATTACATGAACATAATACCACTGTATAAGTTTTGCTGACAAATTATTCTTGATATTGAATGCTTGCAATGATATGCTTCAAAACGAAAATAATGAGATTTAATTTTAAAACTAAAATATTATTGTCATTTGTTTAACATTTGACAGATTCCTGTAATCAAGAAATAACCAAGGAAAATATAATTATGAATGAATTAAAAATACATTTTCAGTAAGTTGTACAAGCCATTTACAGCCGGAAATCACTTTAGTGTACATCAATAACGGATAATATTGCAGAAACAATACATTTCTCAATATTGTTTCATAAGCATATAATTGTATCTCCACAAGTTGACTTATTGTCATTCATACATACATATATGTCATATAAGTAAAAATGAATAACAGCTTTGTGAATAAAGCATCCACTGTGACACAAAAGAACGACTCCATTCAACATGAGAAATGTAAACATATTTTCATGTCCACTAATTAATAATGTAAATAATAATGAAGACGTTCAAGAAAACAAAAGGTGGCACAATAAAACAAATTTGCATCACAAAACAAGACTAACCATAATTTTGCATATATATGAAGTT